TACCGCAAAAAAAAAAAAAAAAAAAGAAAAAGTATATTCTATGAATTTTATCGGCATGTGGAAAAGGGTGCCTAGCATGGAAGGGTAAATTAAAATTTTTTTTTAAGAATGAAAATTCTAATGATAATAAATTTAAATAGGCATAATATATCAAGGGGAAGAATTTTTAAATGCCCCTTTTCTAGAACTATAAAGTAATCTTTCAAGAAATATTTGCCTATTTTGTAGATGCTTAGGTGAAATTGTTCTTCCCTATTAGAAAATATTAATTTGGTCTAGGCGTTGTGCTTTTCATTGTGCAGGAAAAATGATTTCTAACTTTTGTCGTGTCCTAGAGATCAGTGAGATTAACTTCGTGGTGACATTAGCCCTGGTTGCTGAGCTCCTACTAAACCCCGATTTTCCAATGCTGATTCTACTGTTATTGGTGGTGGAGGTGTGTGCTTTTACTTAGGAAGGTCGGCTTTGAGGCAGAGGTTGTCTTTTGGATTTATTTGTATTTTTCAAAAACCGAGGAGGGCATTTTCTTGGAGAAGTTGGCACCCTCTGACATCCCCGTGTCACTGCTATGGAACAAATGATGTTTACTGCAGGGGCAGTGGGGGACGTCCCCCTGGGCTGGCAGTGGGTCCAAGGGAGGGAGTGGTCTGCTTTCCCGGGCTTCCCTTGGCCTCTCGGCTGAGAGAATTTGCTCTGCATGGGGCGTATGAGTGAGTTCACCAGGGGTTTGGTATTTCAGGGTGTAAAGAATAGTGTTTAGTATCTTAACAAATCAAGAATCAATTACCTGGGAGAATAAGCAGAAGGTTTTTTAATGTCTATGATAAATTAGTTTAAACTCTAAAACCAGTCCTTGTGGATTAAGGAAGCCCTTGGAAGCCGTGGAGTATATTTTTAAAATGCACTTGACATCATACACTGAAATGAAATTAATAGATCAGTACATGGTTTCATGTCTTAGGGGAACAACAGTGGCTTTTTTTAGCTGGGATTCTAAGGTATTACCAATTTGTATGTAAATGCAGTTGATTCTGGTAGAATCATGGGGAAAAATAATGTCATCAAACATCTGTTAAAAAGCATGTTACTTAATTATTATCTCTGAGATTTCAGGCCACTTGGCTCTATTCTAATTTTTGTTTTACTGGAAGATGTTGGTTGGACACATCCTTAAGACCACAGCAGGGGATGGTGATGGTGGTGGTTATATGGGGAGATACTTAAAAGGAGAATTAAAGCAAACATAGTTCAGATTGGTACTTCTCAAGGCTCTGTGTAGTCTCTTCCCACCCATGGACCTTTTATCTACTGTTTAACATCACCTAGGCTGTATTATGTTAAGTACCCAGGAATTGTGAATTCTATTTGTATTAAACCACAAAAGAAATTAAAACAACAAAACCACTTCCTCTTATGAAATCCCATGTATAGCATGAACCAATTTAGGGTGTCCCAACAGCAGCATAACCCTACATGGTCTAACAGTTAATGTTTTCCCCAACAGCTAACAGTGCTCCTCTCTCCCCTTTAGAAAAAAAAAGAAAAAGAAAAAGCTTAATTGACCTATAATTGGCATACCATAAATTGCACTTAAAATACACAATATCATAAATTGACATATATATATATTCACACCTGTGAAACAGACTCCATAGCGAAGGTATTGAAATATCCATCTCCTCCAGAAGTTTCCTCTTACCGATTTGTAATTGCTACCTCCTCCCAGCCCTCACATGCCCAATCAGACAGGTACTAATATTTTCCAACCCTAAAGATTAGTTTGCATTTCCTAAAATTTTAAATGAATGGAACAATACCGTTCGTACCCTTTTTTGTCTGGTTTATTTCACTTGGCATAGTTATTTTGAGATTCAGCTCTATTGTAGCGTATGTTAATAGTTCCTTACTTTTATTTCTAAGTAATATCCTATTGGTGGATACACCATAGTTTGATTATCCATCCACTTAGTGATGAACATTTTGGTTGCTTATAGTTTGGGGCCATCATAAATAAAGCTGTTATACATGACTGGTAAGTTTTCTACCAGCTTGTGGCTTGTGTTTTCAATCTCTTTACAGCATCTATTAAAGAGCAAAAGTTTTTAGTTTTGATGAAGTATAAATAATCAATTTGTTCTGTAAGTGCTCATGGTTTTGGTGTTGCATCTAAGCCATCTTTGCCTGACTCAGGGTCACAAAAGTTTTCTCCTTTTTCTTTCCATAAGATTTATAATTTTAGATTTAAAATTTTAGATTTTTACATCTATGATCTATTTTGAGTTAATTTTGTATATGGGTAAAATATGGATCGAAGTTTATGTTCTTGCATACAGGTATCTAATTGTTCCAGCACCGTTTGTGGAACAGACTGTCCTTTCTCTGCTGAATCTCTTTGTAGTTTTGATGAAAATTGTTTGTCCATATATGGGTGTCTATCTGCAGACTTTCTATTCTGGATCATGGCCTGTTTGTTTTATATCAGTACCCCACTGATTTGGTTATTGTAGCTTTATAATAAGTTCAGATATCAGATAGTGTTAATCTTCCAACTTTGTTCTTTTTTTTTTTTTCAAAATTGTTTGGACTATTCTAGGTTCTTTAATTTTGGAATCAGTTTGTCAATTTCCATCCAAAAAAGCCTGTTGAGATTTTTATTGGAACTGCATTAAATCTGTCAATCAATCTGAGAAGCTATGAAGAATTTTCCAGTGGTTATAACCTATCTTTAGTCTTAGGGATGAATTAGGGAGAATAATGTGTGAGTTGATACAATGTGGAGAGAGTGGGGTGGAATTGTCCCCCACGATATACTGATGGAGGAGGTGGCTGACCCAGCCGGGGAAGGCTGAATTGAGGAATGAGTGACCACAAATGAGAAAATATCCCCTCAGAGAAGCTCAAAGAAATGGTTGGGTGGGTGATTCAGGGAGCAGGTCAGGTAATGATGTCAAGCTGAAGTCAGAGGGGACTAGCTACATTTCTTCCGGAAAGAAGACCTGCAGTGGAGAGCTCGGGCTCAGCATAAGCGGGGATTAGAGGAGGAAGAGCATGGCCAGACAAGGGTCACGTATTCATGTCTAGTCGAGGAGAAGGCCATAATGCCTGGAAAGATTGTGATGCAGGGGACACTTGCGGGGTGGGGGGAGTGGGGGAAGGCCATCATGTGGTAAAACAATGAAGGTCAGTTCTACATTAGAACTAATTATTGGTCTAGAACAGTGGTTCTCAACCAGAGGTGATTTTGTCCCCTAAGGAGACATTTGACAGTGTCTAGAGACATTTTTGATTGTCACAACTACTTGGGGTGGGGGTGGGATTTCTCCTATCATTTAGTGGGTAGAGAGAGGCCAGGGATGCTGCTAGCCATCCTACAGTGTACAGGAAACCACACACCACCCCCCCTAACAAAGACTTATCTGCCCAATATGGTAATAGTGCCAAAGGTGGGACACACTGGTCTAGAAAGGGAGGGTCAGCAAAGAGGGTGGAATGAGAGTGGAGCTAATTGATTGCTCTGACGCCTTATGTCTGTATTGTCTTAAGGAGAAATGCTCTGAGTTGTAACCATGCAAAGTTACCCTGCATGATCAGGAGTTCGTCTTTGGAAATCTTCTCTGGGCATGTTTTCAGAAGCTGCCTAAAGGTGTTATCAAGTAAGGCTAGTTTAACAAAAGCGTGCCTTGACTGCAAATGAAGAAATATTGAACATTTGAGTTATTTCGCTTAAGAAGGAAGTATTTGTTTAGTCCATAGATGAGTTTATCAACTGGAATACATTTGATTGCAAGTAATAGAAAACCTAACTCAAAGTGGCTGAAAAAAATAAAGGAAATTTACCAGCTAATGTAACTAAGAAGTCCATGCTTCTTGCAAGGGTTGATTCAGAGGTTCAGTGTTGACACAAGGACCCAGTCTCTCCCTCATCCCAGGGCAGGCTTCCTTCCTAGCTCATAGATGGCTGCCAGCAGTTTTCATGGTTACTGTGACTACTAGAAAATTTAAAATTGTGTGACTCCAAATTGTATTTCTGGTGGACAGAACTGGCTTAGACCATTCAGGAATTTCTGGGAATGGGGTGGAGTCAACCCCACCCAAACCACATGGCTGATACACATATGGGAGAGAGACAGAATGGATATTGGGCAAGCCATCAAAAATGAACACTGCAGTGGGGGGCTTCCCTGGTGGTGCAGTGGTTGAGAGTCCGCCTGCCGATGCAGGGGACACGGGTTCGTGCCCCGGTCCGGGAAGATCCCACATGCCGCGGAGCGGCTGGGCCCGTGAACCATGGCCGCTGAGCCCGCGCGTCCGGAGCCTGTGCTGCGCAACGGGAGAGGCCACAACAGTGAGAGGCCCGCGTACCGCAAAAAAAAAAAAAAAGAACACTGCAGTGACTGGCATAAGCAAAGAAGGGAATATTTATTTAATGGCTACTATTTTACTACAGGTGAATGTCTGGAAGTCCTTCTGCTCTACTACCACTAATAAAAGCTAATATTTTTTTCTTAAATGTATTCTGAAAGTTGTAAAATTAATATAGTGTTCATAGTAACTAGTGAAACAGCACAGAGAGACACTAGGAGGAAGTAAATAATCCCCATCCCTTCCATTCCCTGTTCCCGCTCCCAATCCTGGGTGGCCATTGTTAGCCTGGTCTGTGTTCTTCCATTCCTTACTCCATGTACATGTGAGTGTCTGCATGTCCATTGTTTTCTTCTGGTGGTTGTTGCCGTTCTCATAATGGAAGTATAGCTCTTCAATTTGCTTTTCTCACCTTATCAGCCTTCCAAGTCACTATGTACAGATTTATCTCATTCTTTTTAATAATACATAATATTCTATATTATAGATATTCCACATTTCATTTAAACGTTTCCTCATTAATGGGCAGTCATGTTATACCCAGTCCCCCCTCTTCCTCTGCCCCACGACAAACAATGCTGCAGTAAACATCTTTGTACCTATGTCCTTACATACTGGTCCTTTTTTTTTCCCTATAGGATAGATTCCCAGAAGTGGAATTGCTTGGTCAAACGGTATGTGTATTTTTAATTTTAATATATATTTCTAAATTCTTTTCCCCAAAGGAATAGCAAATCACGTTTGCACATAAGAATGCCCATTTCCTGCATTCTCACCAGCATTGGATGCCACTGTTTATTTTAATTCTTGCCAATCTTATTATCTCTGATCATTAATTTACATTTTCTTCACTGACTGCCTCTGATGTTAAATATATTTTCATATGTTTATTGTTCATTTGAATTTCCCTTTTCTTCATTTCCTATTTATTTTCACTGCCCATTTTTCTACTTGGTGGTGTTTTCCCATCACAGTTTCTGGGAGGTATTTATTGTGTTTTATCGTTACATATGTGCAAATATAGCTTTATTGTTCTTTATAGTTCTTGTCTCTGTGTATGATGTCTTTTACCAAAAGAAAATCCTTACTTATTATTATGTTTTGTAATTATTTATGTCTGTCTTTTTCTTTATTGCTTCTATTATCTGTTTTGCTTAGGATGGTATTGTCCATCCCGTGGTCATACAAGTATTCTTGTAAATATTCTTCCCCATTTTTAAAAGCATTGAGATCTTACTCCAGTTTTAAGTTTTGTACATGATATGAGGTAGGATTCTATCTTTCTTTCTTTTTTCTCCCCCTAGATAACCAGTTACTTAAGTCCTAGTTACTATGAGAAACTTTATTGTTCATGGGATTGAAATGTTACCCTTGTCACATATAAAGATGCCATATACATTTGTATCTATTTCTGGCCTCTCTGTTCTGATCTCTGTCTATTTCTGTGCCAACACCATTTTGTTTTGAATGCAGTGGCTTTCTAGTGAGTTGTAATGTCTGGTAAGTTCTCCCTCACTGGTCTGCTTTTCACACTTTTCTTAGGTGTTTTTAGCCATTTATTTTTTGTTTCATATTGATCTGATTAACTTAAATTTTAAAAGTTAAAGATGCGGAGTTTTATCTTAAATATTTTGAATATAATATATAATAACACATGTAAATAAAGCCAAAAAATTATTTCTCATTTTGGGGATCTCTTTACTTGATGTTACTAATTGGAAAATATTTATTGATTACCTAAAGGTTTTTCTATGAATTTTAATTCTTTAAATGTGACTTTACTTTGTGATGATTGTACAGTTACCCTAAGGTGTGAAAATGGGGATGCAGGCATGACATTTTTTTTTTTTGGCATGACATATTTTTAATCTGTCTAAAAATTAGATTGTAATAAAGCTAAAGTGAGCTTATAAATAATTTGTATTTCTGCTTATGTAACGAACTATAAAGTATACCCATACCTGGATTGGTTGAGGGGTGTGTAAATATGGTAACGTGAACAAAGAATTGTAACTGAAGTGCATAATAAACTATGTGTTTTGCAATCTTTTATGATTTGGTTTTTCTAAAATTTAAATGTTGACTTAAGAAATTGTCACATTTGGAATTTGAGGTAAAGTTGTCTAATACTTTATGTTTTTGACAATTCTTAACATGAAGTTTATATTAATGTGATATTAACTTAATTGTTTTCCCTGACATTCTTAATAGCTTTTTTGGAAACTTTAGTTATAGTATTAAGGTAATAAATACCTTTACATTTCTCTAAAGGCATTTGAAATATTGGAGCTAAACTCTAAAACTGTTTGTGATTTAAAATAATGGTAATATTGTCTCACAAATGAACACATATGCATTTACACGTGAGGTCTGTATTTTGCTTATGAAAGTAAAGGGACATCCCCATGTAGGTTCTACCCATGTTTACTTGGTTAATTAGAAAAAAAGCCATTAATTTGTTCTACAGCCAAAAAGGAAATGGTGAAATAATATATTGTGATTATTATTGAGTGATATACTTGAAAAATATAATTATGTTTTTAAAAATGAGTCAATCATGTTTTATCAAAGGTTGACACATGATATAAACTGTACTACATAAAAGGCATATCACATTTCTCATGTTTCCTAATAAGCTGTATTTTGACCAACTCAAGATTGTGTTTCCTGCACTTAAGTTTTAATCATCATCAAAATAGGCAAAGATGGTAACATAAGCATCTTTTTATATTTATGTTTATCAAATATTATATGATATCACTTACATGTGGAATCTAAACAATAACACAAATGAACTTACTTACAAAACAGAAATAGACTCACAGGCATAGAAAACAAAATTACGGTTACCAAAGGGGAAGGGGGGGAGGGATAAAGTAGGAGTGTGGGATTAACAGATATACACTACAATATATAAATTAACAAAGATTTACTGTATAGCACAGGGAACATAACTGGCTGCTACAGTTGGGATAAGGGAACATTCTGTTGGTTTCAAAACAGTTTTTTTTGGTTTTTGGTTGGTTTTGTTTTGTTTTGCTAAAGAGAAGGGATGCTTTCAATAGTGTGTGGCGCTATAAAGAGATGAACAGAACGGAAGGAACTTCTGCTGGCCAGTAGTGGAAATTTAAGTGACAGAGGTAATGCTAATTATGAGCCTTTGAACAAGCTTATAATTACCATTAAGTTTATTGAATATATCTTCCAATAACCTATAATGGAAAGGAATCTGAAAAAGAATTTATGTGTATGTTTACATATATATGCATATATATATAAACGGAATCACTTTGCTGTACACCTGAAACTAACACAATATTGTAAATCAACTATAATTTTTAAAAAAAGATATAGAGTATATTTTAAATATAATTCTGCGTGTGTGTAAATTCTGTATTGTTAATTATAAAGTTGTTTTTAAGTATATGTAGGCTATCACAGGAACTTAAAATCACAGTAAGTAAACAACAAATAAGGATATCATAAGATTAATAATAAAGGAATGTTTCTTTTATAATATGCCAAATATTTAAGCCTTTAATTTGCTCCAGGGCTGCCCAAGCTTAGACTCTGGAAGATAGAATTGTTTAAATTAGAATGGAGAACTTCTCCTTTTTCGTAAAACAAACAAAACCATTTGTGACCAGGGGTTGGAGTGGCTATAGTAGAGTCCACAGGCAATAAACAAGAGTTTTTTGTTTTTGAAGCTAGAAGAACTCTAGTTGCCACAAGTGTGCCATCATAGCCAAAAAGTCACTGTGATTTCAAGGACTTGAAGTGATAAACTGGGAAGATGTAAGCGCTAGAATAATTAAAATAGTGTTCACGGGACTTAAGGAATGAGGAAGGAAATGCCCCACAACTGAAGCACTGGGTAAAAATAATCATATGTGTGGATTTAAGTGAATCAACTAAAGTTATGTTCAGCCTGTCCACCTTACGTGAAGATACTAAGCAAGTGATGGTATTACTGTGATGGCCAAAGAACAATGATGTACCTCCAAAAATATTTCAGGTATTATGTTCAAAGCAATATTCCTTAGGGCCAGAACCCACCTTAATTCATAGGTATTCTTAATCTAGATCAAACTGAAGTGAAATGACCTTATGTGACATTGTACTTTTAAAAGATGAAAAAAGTCTTACAACTAAAAATTAAAACTGAATCAAGGTAAATATTTTGCACACATTAATTATCAATTTAAGATTTGTAAATGTTACAAATGGCCACAGTAAAATGTAACTTCACTTAATACTGTTCTAATTTAATACGATTCTCTTGTTCTTGTTAAAATGTTACCCTTGTTAAATACTACCTTCCTATGAGTGATACTATCTTAAATTGTCTCAAAATACAATATCACCAGTTTCCTATCTTTATTTTGCCTTAATTCACTGTTAGAATATGTTAAGCCTCCAACATGTAAGAGGTAGAACAAAATATTGCTGCAGCAGATCAAATGCAAGGATGAGACTTCTTCTATATTGCTTCGCCTTGAACAGGTCTGTTGCAAGTCAGGTGTATTATCACCAGAGAAGATAAGGTTCCTTTGGAATGAAGACCCACCCTGTCCCTGGGCTCATTGCAGAAATTATAAATCAACTGTAATTGTGACCTAAGCACTTGTCCTTTTTGCTGTCAGGTCTTCTGGCCATTAAGAAATGTGTTGAGACTGCTCCATTTATTTGCATGAAGCATTGGGTCAGTAGTCAATGACCCTCATTCCTCAAAAGAGAGATAACTGCTTCTTTTGAGAAACCTATTGTGAGCTGGTGACATGAACCTCCAGCTGCATTTAGCTTCCAGGTTGGTTATGTCAGAGGATAACTTTTTTAAATGGTACATTAAATCTGGGTGCTAGTTATTAATCCCCATAGTATTTTTATACATCTAAATGTTGATGTGTCAGTCTCCTAGAGTTTTGTAGTTTCTGCTAGCATTTAAATTCTGATGAATGAAATAACTCTTTGTAAAAAAAAAAAGGAAAGAAAAAAATAAAATACGATTGGTCCCTTCTCCTAGTATTGGATTTGTTAAAAGCCAGCTCACTGTTTCTTAAAAAGGGATAGGACTATTGAAATGTATGAATAGAAAACTTCAAAAGTGAACCTGTCAAAGCAATAGAAAGTAAAGATATTTTAAATACAATTGCAGTTGTATTCAGTAGTGAGAAAAAAAGTCAAAGCATTTCTCCTTAATGCCAAACTGAGGTGTGGAACATTTTATGAGAATGAGTAGAATATTCATAGGAAGGTGGGCACCTCAGCGTTCTCCAATTTAGGACGGCTCATGTCTGCCAACCTCCCATTTATCTGACCAGGTTTCCACTAGCTCTGTTGAGACCCCTTCATTTTCATCTTCTTAGACACCCCGCCATGGAGCATAAGATCACATTTGTAGGGACACTGTGACTGAACAAACACTTTATTTTACATGGTGCTTTCAGAAGAATTCTTTTATGTCCTAGATGGCTAGGCTCCTTGGATGTCTGAACAATGAAGAATCGGAGCAAGAAATTTCTACACCAGAACCCTGGGAGCTTAACACACTTTGAAGTGGATTTCTCCCCTTTCTGGGGCCGCAGTAAAAAGTGAGGGTTTTTCATAGTCCTTGCATTGATGTCTGCAAAGCCAGATGGCTTTGTAAAATGAGCCCCAAAGCAGTATAACTGAT